TGAGGGGTTAGCAATCCATAGCTCGGTGAGTAGATACTAAAGGAGAAAAACATACTACAAATGATGTTCTCCAATATATGTCAAAATAGAATGCTTATTTCTTAAACACATGCATATCGAAAATCCATTTTATATCATAATCAAATGGTTCAAAACCATGTTGTATCAAATCATCAAAATATTTGCACAATGCATATATCGTACTAAAAAAACATATATAGGTGCTTATTCACACGTGGGATAATAACATATCATTAGGTGCGAACACCTAAAGGTCACGCCCTTCATGCCTAGGTCTCTGCATATGGCCAACATAAGGTCTATCACTACACCTCTCCAGCTAGATGGAGCCTTGTATCATTGAGCTCAAAGTCTATCTCTCAATAGCTAGGTTCCCCAAGGTCTCGAAAGCATTTTTGAAAACCAAACATATTTATATATTTTCAAATCGGTATTTCAAATACCATGCATGCTTTTTTAGAAATTATACGGATAATTAAAATAACATTTATAATACATTTTCCCAAATTCAAAAACACATATCAAACTCCATCTCAACTCATATCAAGTTATTCGGTACGAAAATATTTCAACATTTATGATGTCCATTCCTATATACATTATGATGGAATGCTTCTATATCGGTCTTAAACAACTATGCATGATGAACAAATCAAGAAATTTAAAACACGAGTACACTATATAATATTCACGCATAGTATAATTTGAAGAACTAAATAAAATCAAGATGGTTTAAATAGAGTTGCACACTCCGAAGAATATAGCATCACAAAATGATGGATCATCAATCAATACCATATACCATGGAATAATCTAAACAATGAATTATCTAGAATTAGAAATACAAGATTATTGGATAAAAATGGTATTGATTAGAAAGGCTCAAATTGAAAACCTAACTAAATTTTATAATCCTTCAATTGATTTTAAACAATCACTTAATCACTTTCCTTTACCAATCTTCAACCCATTTTTAAAACAATCAACCCTCAATCAATTAACCCTTAATTCAATTAAATGATTAATTTTATTTCAATTCACATAATACTCATTCCATTTACCTCTAATTATACTTTTATGACTTAATTCCTCATTTCCTCGAAATTCTTTCTAATTAACACATAAATTCAAAATTTTCACTATTCATCATCTTTAACCTCTCAATTTCTCAAATTTGCTTAATTTTACTTCAAACTAACATCACTCATCACTTATCTAAGATAATTAAGCATCATTCAAGCTATCAAAATCACTGAGTATACTTTTTCTCAAATGGATCCTAAAACTCTAATCTTAATCTAAGTAATTCCTTAAGCAAATCATAATCCAAAGCTACTCTAACTAAATATCATCTTAACCACACATAAACTTCATAGTTTAAAGAAAAATTGATCAAAAATCTTACCTTTACACTATGCTCTTCAAATCCTAAATTCTTCCTAGCTCTCCAAGCTTCTCAAGCTCTAAGTTAGCTATACTCCACTTAAACCAACTAATTGATGTTTCACCTAAGCTAATTTAACAATGAATTATCTTAGGAATTGAAGTGAAAACGGGAAGGAGTTTTAGGAGAGTAATACATGAGAGAGTGAGAGGAAAGAGGGGAAAAATCTAGAAAAGGGGACGATTCATTGCTCCTTTTATACTAACCCCCCTTTTTTTTTTTAATTCGAGTTATTACATTCTCCCTCTTAAGAAAATTCATCCTCAAATTTTGAGTCTACCTAAACCTTAGTAGATGAATAAATGAGGATACTTTCTTTTGATTTCCTCTTTGGCCTCCCAAGTGGCTTCTTCGATTGAATGGTTCCTCCAAATGACCTTAATAAACACAATCTCCTTATTCCATAATTTCTTAATTTAGAGATCTACTATAGCCATCGGTTATTCCTCATATCACAAATCAAGACTTAATTCCACTATTTGCAATTATAAGATATAGGATGGGTTGGGTACATATTTCCTTAGCATAGAAATATGAAACACTAGATGTACACTTGAAAAATATGACAATAATGCCAACTCATAAGCCAATGCTCTAATTTGATCAATAATTTTAAATAGTTTAATATGCCTTGGGCTTAATTTTTCCTTTTTGCGAAACTCGCATTACTCATTTCATCGGAGAAACTTGAAGAAATACAAAGTCACCAATTTGAAACTCCATATGTCTCCTCTTAGGATCTATATAACTCTTCCGTCTACTATGAGTAGTCCTAAGGCATTCTTAAATTAACTTCACATCCTTAATAGTGAGCTAAATCAATTATGGACATAAAGGTTCCTTTTTTCAACTTCGCCCAACATATTGGTGATCTACGCTTTCGACCATACAAAGCCTCACATGGTGCCATACCGATGCTAGAGTGATGATCGTTGTTGCACAAGAACTTAATCAATGGCAAGTGATGATCCCAGCTACCTTTAGGTCCATCACATATGACCTAAGCATATCCTCTAAGGTTTGGATAGTCTTTTCTAACTAACTATCCGTTTGAGGATGAAATGTCATGCTCGAAGTCTAGCCTTGTACGAAATGCCTCTTATAACTTTCTTCGGAATTGAGATGTAAATTGAGTACCTTGATTTAAAATGATAGATACCGCAGTGCCTTATAAGGACACTATCCGATCAATATATAGTTAGGCATACTAAGCATACCCATAAGTAGTCTTTATATAGAGAAAGTGAGCAAACTTAGTTAGCCTATCAACAATCACCCAAATTGACCCATAACCTTCTTGGGTTCAAGGAAAACCCATTACAAAGTCCATTGTCACTTTTTTCTACTTCCACTCGATAGTAGCAACTCTTGTAACATCTCCGCCAATCTTTGGTGCTCATACTTTGCTTGCCGACATGTTAAGCACTATAAAATAAACTCCATAATGTCGTTCTTCATTCCAGTCTACTAATAATTCTCATGAAGATCCTTATGCATCTTGACATAACCCACCCGGATGAGTAGAATAGATCATACTATGAGCCTCTATTAAAACCTATTCTCTTAGCTCCGCATTCTTTAGCACACATAACTTTCAATGAAACCATAAAGTGCCTCTACTATCCACTCTAAAACCCGGACCTTTTCCTTCTTACAACCTACTATAAATCCCTTAGATCTCCTTATCATTAGCTTTAGCCTCTCGAATCTATTCCACTAAAATTGGCCTAATCTCTATATGGGTTAACAATGCACCTTATTCATTAACCCCAAACACCTCCCTAGAATCTCATAATCTATTTACTTTCGATGCCAATGGCCACTTTTCTTCGAAAAATGGGCCAAACTTCCGGCTAACATCCTTCTCAAGGCATCTACTACCATATTAACCTTACTTGGATGGCACAAGATTGTACAATCATAATCTCTCGATAATTCCATCCATCTCATTTGCCTCAAATTCAAATCCTTCTAATTAAATATATACTTCAAACTCTTATGATCCGTATAGATTTTATAAGTTTCTCCATACGGATAATGTCTTCAAATTTTTAAAGCAAAAACCATTGTTGCCAATTCTAAGTCATGTGTAAGGTAGTTTTGTTCATGTTTCTTTAATCGCCTCAAAGCATAAGCTACTACTCTACCATTTTGCATCAATACACATCCTAACCATACTCTTGAGGTATCACAAAACATTAAAAATCCATCACTACTTGAAGGATAGGTAAGGATTAGTATCGTGGTTAAACATGTCTTCGACTTTTAAAAGCTCTTTTTGCACTTATCCGACTACCGAAATCTTACATTCTTTCAAGTCAACTTAGTTAAAGGTGTTGCAATCCTTGAAAAATCTTACACAAACCTTCGATAATACCCGATTAAACCCAAAAAGCTTGAATCTTCATCACCGAAGTAGGTCTCGACCAATGGCTTACTCGCCTTTACCTTCTTTGGATCAATCGTAATTCTTTTTAGCACATAATGTGTCCTAGGAATGCCATATTCTCTAACTAAAATTCACGCTTAGCATACAATCTTTGATTTCTCAATGGTTGTTGCACTCACCTTAAATGATTCTCATGCTCTTCGCCATTCTTAGAATATACTAGGATCTCATCAATAAACACAACCATAAATTTATCAAGGAAGCATTGAAACACCTAATTCATTAGATCCATAAAAGATGTTAGAGCATTGGTAAGGCCAAATGACATCACTAGAAATTCATAATGGCCATACCATATCTTGAAGGTATTTTTAGGGATATCATCCCTCTTAATCCTCAATCGATGGTATCCGAACCACAAGTCAATCTTAGACAAATACTTTGCACCTTGCAATTGATCAAACAAATGGTCTATCCTTAGCAACGGATGCCTATTCTTCGTCGTCACTTTATTCAATTGATGATAGTTAATGCATAACCTTAAACTCTCATTGTTCTTTTTGACAAATAAAATCAAAGCACCACTATGGAGAAGTGCTTAGTCGGATAAACCCCTTATCCGACAAGTCCGAAAGTTGAACCTCCAACTCCTTTAATTCCGTTGGTGTCATCCAATAAGGATGTATAGGATAGATTTAATGCTTAGAAACAATTCAATATTGAACTCTATTTCTCTATATAGAGGTAATCAAGGTAATTCATCTAAAAATATATCGGAAAACTCCCTAACGATAGGGACTTAAAGGTGAGCAAATGGTTCGGTTAACCAAAAATTGAATACAATCGAATCGAATTATGAAATTTGATTCGATTTTTAATTTTAAAATGTACTATTTATAACCGAATCAAAAAATCAAAATTTATTTCGGTTCTATTTGGTTTTTGAAAAATAAAAAATTTGATTCAAATCGAAAATCAAAATTTATTCCTAAATTAATTCTAATTCTAATTTCTCATTTCCAATTCCAAATACCAAATCAGCAAATCCCTAACCCTAACTCCCTAAGCGTCGTTACCTCGCCGTCACTGGCTCGCCGCATCCGGCCGTCCGGGCATCCTCTCTCACTCTCTCGGTCCTCACTCGAGTCACTCCTCACTCGGATCTCGCTCTCGTGTCTCTCGACTAGTCGACTTAGTCTCATTCTCATCTCTCGACTCTATTGACTTTGAGTTTTCAACTATCGATTTCAGATCTCCATCTCTCTTTTAGCCTTCGATTTTGGCTTCATTCCCTTCTCTAGTTCTCCTTCTTTCCTACACTCTTAGAGTCTCGGTCTCCACTCCACTCTCCAGGTGGCAATCTAGCCAATCCTCCGACCTCTAAGCTCCGGGCTCTAGTTTGCTCACCTATCATCAATCTTATAGAGTCATGCCTTATGGACTCACGAGTCACGGTCACGGTCATGGTCATCCTTATCGGTCAAGGTGCATAATTTTTTTTTTAACAAACAAAGAACGAAAGATCAAAGATGTTCGGTTCTCCTACTTGCAAACCACATAATAAAAGCGAGTGAATTGTTCTTTTGTCTCTATTTTTAATGTAGTTGCAATAAATTCTTGGATACCGGATTTGGTACAAAGTGAAAATGGATCTTGATATGCTTTGTGCCCAGGTTGTGGGAGAATTAAACATAGGGTTAGCTTAGAAGTTGTGTTTTTCAATTAATGGTTTGGTTTATACGTTTAGAGTGTTCGGATATTTTGATCGGTCTTGTTGTCTTGATTTTGTTGGATATTTTTGGTATTGGAGATTAGAGGTAATTATGTCAATATTTGGTGTTAATTTTAACATCTAGGTACTTATGGTTGCTCGTAAAATTAACTTCTCTTTATGCGTTCGCATTTCTTTTTCCTTATCCGAGTTTGATCGATCAATGTTGAGTTTTTTTTTCTTTTTAATTTTGATATATTCACTTGTGCTCGTCATTAATTAGTATGCCTATCTTCATTTTGTTGGAAATTTAGAATTGTTTGAGTTTTACAAAGCATGAAATCTGTCTTTAAGAGGACAACAAAAACAATAATAAGAGCGATTCTTAATTTTCTTATTCCGGTGGAGAATATTTAGGTTTGTAATGGGTTTATGATCGCTTAAGCTATTAAATTCCCGAACTTAAAGTAGAACAAGATGTTCAATAAGGAGTTCTAAAGAAGCCAAAAGATTGCATTTTGTGGAATATTTGGTAATGGTAAAAAATGGAAAATTTCTTTGCATTTACTATATTTCAAAGGTTTTTTTTTTTGGTTAATGAAGGTTCTTTTTTGTAGAGTTTGATTCCGTATAACTTTGAGAAGAGCAATACTTCATTTATGTGTCCTCAAAATGGTGATACTCGGGGTTAAAAAAAAATTAAGAAAAGAAAAAAGGAATGGTCATCTAGTTTTATAGGACTCCTATAAATTGGTCATAAGATATTTTAAGGTAAAAGGTCGATGATGTCCATAACAATTAACAATCATTCAAAGACTATAAATTGATCATAAGATATTTTAAGGTAAAAGGTTGATTATGTCCATAACAATCATTCCACTCGAGTTATTTGATCTCATTTTCGATTATACGTAAGTCAACTTGATGATAGTCTTGTTTATTTTGTGAGAAGGATTGCTTGATATTTAACATGAATTAACAAATAACAAGTAAATAAAGAGTAGATAGACAAGCTTGGTTCATTATTTTAAGTAGGCACTAGGTAGTGCTTGCAAGATCGCGCGATGGGCCTACTACTCGGCCTCCTGCCGGCAGCCGCAGAGCCTACCGCCTTGGTGCCTCTCCGCCTAGCTAAATTTTTTTTTTTTAGCTTAAGCTTAAGGAGTGTGAAGCTTAATACTCTTTTCCTATGTTTTTATGTAGATGTCGCAATCTCAATCCGTAGAGATGAATTATGAAAATGTGGATTCAAGCAATCCTAATCCACAATCAAGTGCAACTTCAAGTAACACTTAAGACGATGGTAAAGGAAAGAAGAGGAAATCAATGAAGCCAAGATCGATGGTGTGGGATCATTTCACAAAGTTTGAAGATGACAAGAAAAACATGAAGGCTAAATGTACCTATTGTGATAAGGTGTTTACTTGTGATCCTTCAAAAAATGGGACAACTTTACTTAGGTCTCATGTTTTGACTTGCGAAAAAAAACCTTTTTAGTTGTATTGACTCTACCCAAACTCAATTAGACCTAAGAAAGATTGAAGCGGAAGAAAACAATCTTTCCATATGGAAGTTTGATCAAAATGTTATTATAAAAGATTTAGCTGAAATGATCATTCTAGATGAGCTTCCATTTAAGCATATAGAAGGCGAGAGGATTCAAAAAGTTTTTGTCTAATTTGTAACCTAGATTTAAGCTTCCATCTCATTTTACAATTTCAAGAGATTGCTATCAAATTTATTTATATGAGAAAATAAAATTAAAGCAATTTTTGAAACAAAATAGTCAAAGAATTAGCCTTACTACAAATACATGGACATCTATTCAAAGAATCAATTACATGTGTTTAACAACTCATTTTATTGATAATGATTGAAAGTTATATAAAAAGATCTTAAATTTTTTTCGATAGATAGTCATAATGGAGAAGATTTAGGTATTGCCATTGAGAAATGCTTGATTGATTGGGGAATTAAGAAGATTTTTAGTCTTATGGTTGATAATGCGAGTTCAAATGATGTCGCAATTAGGCACTTAAAATAAGTAATTAAGAATTGGGGTTATAGCATCTTAGATGGTGAATTTATTTATATAAGGTGTATGGCACATACTTTAAATCTAGTTGTTGTTGATGGGTTAAAACATTTTAGTCCTTCAATCTTTTGTATTTGATCGACCGTTAGGTTTGTGAGGCAATCTCCGACTAGGTTGAAAAGATTTAAGGAATGCATTCTACTTAAGAAAATTGATTCTAGGAGTTTGTTACAACTAGATGTTGCTACTAGGTGGAATTCAACATACTTGATGTTAAAGTCAACTCTAAAGTTTGAGAGAGCTTTTAAGAGATATGAGCAAATTGATCCTTTATATAGGAGTGAATTTTATGTAGATCATGGTGATAATGTTGTTGAGCCATCTAATGTTGATGATTGGAAGTCTTGTAAGAAGTTGGTGGGCATTTTGAAAATTTCTTACAATCTCACTTTGTGTATTTCGAGTTCTTTGTATGTGACTTTAAATATTTATTTTGAAGAGATTTGTGCTCTCGAACATGTTTTGAAAAAATGGCAACGAAGTGGAGATTTAGATGATTTTATATTGGCCAATAAAATGAAAGAAAAGTTTGAGAAGTATTGGGGGATATTAAGAAAATGAATAAGTTGATTTAGATTGCGACAATACTTGATCCTAGGCATAAACTTGTATTTATTGAATTTTCAATCAATGAATTGTATGGTGATTTGGAGGGTCAAAGAATGTCAAATATTGTCAAGGAATCTATGTATGCTATGTATGATTTCTATTATCGTTCATCAACATCTCAAGGTGAAATTGGCCAAGGTAGTGGGAGTCGAAAAATAGATGTGGGTTGTGCAAATGAAGAAATGATTGATGAAGAAGAAATTAGAATAAAAGGGAGATAATGATGCGTTTTGAAAAATACAAATGTGATATTGGAGGTGGAGAAAATAAAACAGAGTTGGATAAATATCTTAGTGAAGGTTACGAAAATAACGGTGCTGATTTTAATATTTTAGAATGGTGGAAAACCAATTCTCCTTGGTTTCCCATCCTTTCACAAATGGCTAGGGATGTATTGGCGAGTTCTCGTTTCTACTCGTTTCCTCAAAATTGACATTTAACACTAGAGGAAGGGTTCTTGACTACTTTAAGAGTTCTTTGACTCCTAGCTTAGTGAAATCTCTTATATGTGCTCAAGATGGGATTAAAAATTCATCGACACCTTTTCATTTGTTATTTCTTTCCTCTATATTTATGCTAAAATTTTAATTTTTTTATCTTATAATTTTCAGAGCTACCACTTGTCACTACCTCTATTACAAATGCTTGAATCTTGATGGGTTGATGACTTGATTATGTTTTGGCGTGATGAATGGTATGTGTAAGTTACTAGGTCTCTACTTTCTAAGTTTGATTTTTTATTTCTATTGTTTATGCAAGTTTAGTCGGTAAGTGGGAATTGTAAATTTTTATTTTCATTTTCATTTTCATTGAACTAGAGAAGAGAACCATAGTTGGTAGTAGCCTATCGCCTCGGTGCCTCATGCCCACTAGCGAGTAGGCCTACTAGCGATGGGCGATAGGCTCATCGTCTTGGTGTCTCCTACCTACCGGCAGTGGGCAGTAGGCCTACTTTCTTTGATTTTCATAGCATGTTAATATCCTCTTTCGGGAGTATTAAGTGTTTGTTGGGATTTCATTTTATTGCATATCCTAAAGGAGTGAAGGTATTGCAAATGCACGGAAATCATTTGTTTTAGGACAAGAAGAGAGCTCGTGTCTCGTCCTCTTTGTTGAGAAATGAGAACGGACATTCTACCATACTTTTACTCGTTTAATGTTGATTGTATTGTATTTGGATCTTTGTTTCGTCAATAATTGTTTTACATGACTTATTTCCCTTTTCGATATATGAATATTAAACATGTTAGGTGTTTAAATTTGACTTTAATTATGAATTTTTTGTTTAGGTGTTGAATCCTTTTTAGAAAAGAAAGTGGTTACTTGTTAGCTCGGCATTGCTAATTACTCGGCTTAGGCAAAGAAAAAGTAAATAAAAGTTTTGAGAGAAGCTGTCTAGAGTATGAAAAAGTGAAGTAATGAAAAAGTTCGATTAAATCGAATTATTTCAAAACCAAACCGAAATAATTTGGTTATAAATCGAATTAATTTTGGTTTGATTTCGGTTTTTATTTTTCCTACTTTGGTTAATCGAAAACCAAACTAAATTATGTTTAATCGAACCGTTTAACCGAATGCTCACCCCTATAGGGACTTAGTCCAAACTAATCATAGTATTCGCCTTTACATAAGTCAAATAGGTTACACACCCTTTCCTCATCATCTTATTCACCTTAATGGAAAATATTAGGTTAGAAGGGGATACACTCTACTCTCTTTGAAAAAAAAATCTTTCTTCTCCCAAACATTCAAAATACATTATTTTATTATAGCGAGTCTAATGAAGCACGATGGTTTGCTAACCAATCAATTCCTAAGATCATATCAAAATCATTCATCTCCAATAATATTAAATCCACAATTAAATTTCTACCCATTACTCATACATCATAATTTCTAAACACCATATCGGTTATCATACATTCTCCCATAGGTGTTGATACCACTAATGACTATTCTAACATGTGTGGACTTACATCAAACCTCTTAGCAAAATATGAAGACACAAATGAATTGGACCCCTTAGTCAAATAACATCTTTACATCATGTGAAAAG